TATTTTTTGCGCAAAACGGGGGCAGTGTAGATATAGCCCCAGGCTTTTCTTTTGCCGGCTTCCAGTTTGATCATCTTCAGTCCCACTTGCCAAGAAGGTAAATGCCTACTCGTTTGCACCCCTCAAACAGTGGCACAGCACCTCCCATTAGCCCAGGAGGCTTCTATTAGCAGCAGTGAACTGGCTAGCAGAGGGGCAGGCAATTTTAGATGGGGACCATACCAAGAATTTTGTAACTGGTCAAGGGCTGCACTCTTCCATGATACCAATGGAAGAAGAGTGGGGTCTGGGTGGAGGTTGGATGCAGAAGGGAGCTCAGGGGAAGGAATTGAGAGTGCAGGAAAGGGGGTGCAGTCTTAGAGGGAGTTTGGGTGAAGGAGGGGATTTTGACCTGGGGCAAGGGCTTAGGGTGCAGGAGTGGATCCCCACCTGTAGGAGTGTAGGATGGGGTGCAAGATCTGGAAAGGAGCTGTGACCTGGGGCAGGGATGAGGAGGGAGTGCAGAGGTTTCAGTTGTGACCTGAGGTAGAGGTTGGGGTGCAGAGCACAAGTGCAGGATCAGAGGGTTTGTATTGCATGGTGCAAGAGGGGGACACAGGGTTGGGGGAGGATGAAGCTAGGCTGACAGAGGTAGGCTGTGGTTAGGAGGTACTTCCCTTGGCAGCTCCCAGCTAAGGGCTCCTCAGGCAGGCTCCCTGCCTTTCACACTCCTGCACGCCACTCTTCTCTGAGCAGGGGAAGGTTGGGGTACTTCGTGCTTTGCCTGCCCTACGCCACAAACAAGGCTCGGGCAAAACTGGCCAATGAGAGCTACATGATTTGCTGGGGACAAGGGCAGCATGATTTTACAAAAGGTAGATCGTGCCAAACCAACCTGATCTCCTTTTTTGAGATAGTAACAGATTTTTTTATATAAAGGAAATGCAGTGGATCTAATCTACCTCGACTTTAGTAAGGCATGTGATACAGTACCACGTGGGGAATTATTGGTTAAATTGGAAAAGATAGGGATTAATATGGAAGTTGAGAGGTGGATAAGCAACTGGTTAAAGGGGAGACTTCAGCGGGTCATACTGAAAGGTGAACTGTGAGGTTGGAGGAAGGTTACTAGCGGAGTTCCTCAGGGATCAGTTTTGGGGCCAATTTTATTTGACCTTTTTATTGCTGACGTTGGCACCAAAAGTGGAAGTGTCCTGATAAAATTTGTGGATGACACAAAGTTGGGAGGTATTACCAATTCAGAAAGGATCGGGATATCATACAGGAAGATCTGGATGACCTTGTAAATTGGAGTGATAGCAATAGGATGAAATGTAATAGTGAGAAGTGTAAGGTTATGCATTTAGGGATTAATAATAAGAATTTTAGTTATAAGCTGGGGACACATCAGTTGGAAGTAACGGAGGAGGAGAAGGACCTCGGAGTCCTGGTTGATTATAGAATGACTATGAGCCACCGTTGTGACATGGCCGTGAAAAAGGCTAATACGATCTTGGGATGTATTAGGCGAGGTATTTCCAGTAGGGATAAGGAGGTGTTAGTGCCATTATACAAGGCATTGGTGAGACCCCATTTGGAATACTGTGTGCAGTTCTGGTCTCCCATGTTTAAGAAGGATGAATTCAAACTGGAACAGGTACAAAGAAGGGCCACTAGGATGATCTGAGGAATGGAAAACCTGTCTTATGAAAGGAGACTTAAGGAGCTTGGCTTGTTTACCTTAACCAAAAGAAGGCTGAGAGGGGACATGATTGCACTCTTTAAATATATTTAAGAGATAAATACCAGGGAGGGAAAGGAATTATGTGAAGGTGTAACTGTATACACGGTTAACTGATTAGTTAATGGTCACGGTTACACACAGGCTCCCGGTATACATGGGGATCCCGTCTGAAAGCTGACCAACCTGGCTCCCGAGAAGTCAGCTGATCCCCACTGCTGTCATCTCTACCCCTCCCTGGTGTGTAACCACTGAAATTTAATTAGGCACATTTTAACATCTCTAATTTGTAGTAGTGCTCTATTTTGGCACAGCTAAATCAATGCTTAAGATTTGAGAACCACAAGAAAATGTTATTGGAAACCAAATTGACTACAGCCCAGGTTTGTTAAAACAGTGAATGACAACTGTTCATAAGGATGAAGAAAAATATGCTTAATAGAATTCCCATTTAAAAATAAATGGAAAAATGTTAATCCTTTTTTTAAAGAAATCCCAAATAAAAGTTAACTTTATAAAAAAAACAAGCCCCAGAATCAAAGCTTTTGTTACAGAAAACTTCATTCTCCAACTCTTAAGATTGTGAAGGAATCCTTCCGTTCATGTACAAACTCAGTATTTGCGGATAGCCTGACAACTCTCAACTGCATTGCCATATATCTCAACAGGATATAAATGACATATGACGCCTCGTCTTACTCTCCTCCCCCCTCTATCCCCGGTAGGGCTGGGCTGCAGGCCAGATACAGTGGCTTGGTGGGCTGGATTTTTCTGCCCATGTATTAGGCAGCAGCATAATAAAAAGTATGTTGGAACTTTTGGTTTGGCCAAGACAAGCTTCAGCATATGAGCAGTGAAACGTTTGGGTGCGAAGATTTTGAACATCTTGGCAAGCAGCATAGACGGAGGATGGAATTTTACTTTTATGTAGCAGTTACATTGCTAGGAGGGAAATAATATGGGCAGGGCCCAGATCCAAACAGATCTCCCCCAAAAAGTGTCGAGGGTGGTTAAAGACCAGACAAGTTTGTTCATGAGGTTTTTGACAGGAGATGGGAAGACAGAGACCAATACATTCATAATGTATTGTGCAACAGGTTTAGATGTTTTACAAGTTACTTTACCCTTTCAGCAATAGTTTCTGTAATGCACACAAGAAGGGATAACTCATTATAAACTTAACATTGTTAATTGTAATGTTAAAATTTGACTCATTTTGAAGGGATTAAACCTCACTGTATACGCATTGAAATGACACACGGCTCCTAATATTTTGGCTAGGATAGATGCAAAGTCTTCAGCTTGTATGCAAGGCTATGTGAAGTTTCTGGTTTATATAAAAAGTCGATAGGACTACTTGCAAAGTGAAAAACAGACACCACATGCCAAGTAAGGCATATGCACAGGGGCCATTCAGCCTTCACTTACCCACGCTGCTGGGGGCAGCATTACAAGAATGAATGCTGCAGCAAGAAGGGCTGGGCATACATTAGACATGTGTCTCCTGTGAAGTTTCCTTCTTCCCATGGCAGAAAAGCGATTGCATTGTGCATAGTGAAGGCAGTTATGACACGTTAAAGACGTTCTCCTGCTCTAATCCGCATCAACTGGAGGAGTCAACATCAACAAGTCCACATCCATGCAGCTTGTCAGACCACCCAGGGTTGTAGCCCCATCCCTGGGGCAGTTTGGTCCTAGCTACAAAACTGGTTATAACCAGCTCAGGGTATATCCAGGTTACAGACTTCTGAGGTTTTGTTTCAATTCTTATATATCAGTGTCTTAACGCAGTTCTCCCAACAAAATTACTGGTGTCAGTCCAGACTAGGGGTGAGAAATAATCTTTGATGGGGGGAGGGGCACTTCCAAGAATTTGGTATGTGTCAAACGCCATCCTTGTTCTGATATTAATGCAGTGAATGTGGTCGGAGATGGAGGTTAGGTGTAGAACAGAGCTCAGGGTAAGGGACTGGGGGGAAGGAGCTTGGATTAGGGATGTGAACATGTAGCCGAGTACATGGTTAATTAATGAGCCTGAGCATTTATACGCAGCACCCTCCATCCCACCCCGCTGCCTCTCTGTCAAAGGCAGCGGGGGAGGGGGAAGAGCCAGCTTAAAAGCCTTCATTTTCTTTTTTGTTCATAATCTGGAAAAAACCAAGCTTTCCTGCTTTTTCAGGTCAAGCGATTTCTCAGTTTGGAATGAACTAGTCCAAAGGAAGAAAATATTCTCTCTCTAACAGCAGAAGAAACTACTGATTTTCATAAGAATGGCCATACTGGGTCAGACCAAAGGTCCATCTAGCCCAGTAGCCTGTCTGACAACAGTGGCCAGCTCCAGGTGCCTAAGAGGAGGTGGACCAAAGACAGTGACCAAGCGATTAGTCTCGTGCCATCCATCTCCAGCCTCTGACAAACAGAGGCCAAGGATTAATAGCCCCTGGCTAATAGCCTTTTATGGACCTAACCTCCATGAAATTATCTAGGTTCTCTTTAAACTCTGTTATAGTCCTAGCCTTCACAGCCTCCTCTGGCAAGGAGTTCCACAGGTTGACTATGTGCTGTGTGAAGAAGAACTTTCTTTTATTAGTTTTAAACCTGCTACCCATTAATTTCATTTGGTGTCCTCTAGTTGTTCTATTATGGAAACTAATAAATAACTTTTCTTATTTACCCTCTCCACACCAGTCATGATTTTATATACCTCTAACATATCCTCCCTTAGTCTCCTCTTTTCTAAACTGAAAAGTCCCAGTCACTTTAGCCGCTCTTCATATGGGACCGGTTCCAAACCCCTAATCATTTTAGTTGCCCTTTTCTGAACTCTTTCCAAGGCCAAAATATCTTTTTTGAGGTGAGGAGACCACATCTGTACACAGTATTCAAGATGTGGGCGTACCATAGTTTTATACAGGGGCAGTAAGATATTCTTGGTCTTATTTTCTATCCCTTTCTTAATAATTCCTAACATCCTATTTGCCTTTTTGACCGCTGCTGCACACTGCGTGGAAGTTTTCAGAGAACTATCCACGATAACTCCAAGATCTCTGTCCTGATTTGTTGTAGCCAAATTAGCCTCCATCATACTGTACGTATAGTTGGGGTTATTTTTTCCAATGTGCATTACTTTACACTTATCCACATTACATTTCATTTGCCATTTTGTTGCCCAATCACTCAGTTTGATGAGATCTTTTTGAATTTCTTCACAGTCTGCTTCTGTCTTGACTATCCTAAACAGTTTGGTATCATCCGCAAACTTTACCACCTCACTGCTTACCCCTTTCTCCAGATCATTTATGAATAAGTTGAACAGTCACTTCAATTGTCACTTCTACAGTCTCTGAATCCACATGCTTAAGTGACTTCCACCAGTTCACTCAGGTGACTTCCTTTAAATCATCATCAGCAAACATATTTCCTGAATGGTTTACCCTTAGATCTGAAATTTATTGTAGTTGGCATTAGGGAGGGAGGACTGCTCGATGCCCATGTCAGCCAACTCCTCTTCTTCAGCAGTTAAGGTTTCACCCTGGTGCCAAGTATTGAGAATATTTCCATGAAAATGAGCTGGAGACAGTGCTTGTCCCATTCGTATTAATGCTTGTAATTTAACTGTCATTGCATATTTCTCCTTTTAAGTTCTCACTGTTCCTTCCAAATGTCACGAACATCAGCAATAAAACTAGGGCTATAGAAACAGACGTCAGGGTACTCAGCAATTCTCTTAAGCCCAACGTTGAGAATCTCGGCAGTGACTGTCATCCATTTTTTCCACCATTTTTTTCACAAACTGTCATTAGATTAGGCCAGCTCTAGATAGAGTACTCAAAACAGCCTACGACTGAGTTCCATCACACGTCTTGTGGGAGGGTTAGTTTGCTTCCTTCCACTTTTTTCAGATCAGCTGCTGCAAAGTGGTTGTTACGAAAGTATTTTGCAATTTCAACATTAGCCCTCATTTCTAGGACACTGAAGTCTTTGGCAGAGGTACATCAAATGAGCACTGCAACCATGTTATTAGCCTGGGACTCTTCATTCTCCTACATTTCTTCTCATCTTGGACATTTACAGCATCGCCTGTGACCAAGACATTTGAATTTTTTTCAGAGACTGCTAATTCTTGTAAGTATTCTGCTGTAGCCATTCCCCTCTTCTGGTGTCGCACAAGCACATTCAACAGGATCGTTGTGGACATTGCTCTTCCCATCAAGATGCAGGTTAACAATTTTACCCATGTAGACTTTTTGCACGTGGATCAATTTCTCTTTCATACATTTTATCCAGCAATTTGCCCACAACATCTGCTATGTTGGGTGGACTGTATCCTACTCTTAATAACTGAGCCATATTAATGAAGTGTGGGTTCTCAGTCGTACAGGAAGAAGAGCTTGTTGCATAAACAAATCAGGCAATTTTTTTCATCAATTACCTCTTTTTGCAATCTGCTAGTACTTATCCAGAAATAACCATAGATAAGTTTGTGATGACGGAGATTCCCCCCCCCCCTTTTTCCTACAGGTGTGGGCTATGTGACATACAGAATGTGACCGAAACCCTATCATTGGCAGATCATTCTGAAACTATAGAAAATGATGGTGATCTTGAAGATGGAGAGTCTTCAGAATCCTGTATTTTGAGGATGGCGTCTCCTAAACAAAATAAGTCAATGCAGTTATTTAATTATTACCATACTGCTCACTTAGTATAACTAATTGCATTTGACACTCATCCAGCACTACTTTGAAAGTGAAACTGTAAAAGATCTGCCTATTTCAGCTATTTATTTTGTATCACACCTGCATCAACAATGACAACTATATTTTTTGTTTAAACGTGAGAATTCAAGAATAGTCCAGAAGGAAGACAAGTCGTCCTTAACAACGAAGTATGAAAGAAAAAACGTTTACCAACTTGAAGATGCTGCATGTTTAGACACATTCCTGTCATCATCTTCAGTGAAGATTGCTCCTGAGGGAACACTTTTCATGATGTTGTTTCATTCAGGCAACCAGGACTTGCATTTTTTTGTTGCACACTTTGCATTTTACATGCATGTCTATCTTACCCACAGTCAGAGAAACTGTATTAAAATATTCCCAAACTGGGGCTCTTTCACAGCCTGCTGCATAGGTTTTCTCTTCTAGTGAAAGAATGGTATGGTAGATTTCAAACTGTTGTACTTAAAAGTACTGCATGGGATCTTTTCAGGGGGGAAAAGGCAAAACACCACATTTATTGGTAATACATACAGCAATCAACACTTATGTTCATATAACGTATTACACTCACACACAAGCACACTCTACCTTGTGGTTGTTACCAATAGTTACTCCCCCTAACTCAGGCCTGGGCAAAATACAGCCCATGGGACACATCCAGCCTGCTGCGTCACCAGCTCCGGCCCGCAGATGCTGTGGGGAGCCCCAGGCAGGCTCCCCGCTTGCCTCGCCCCACCCACACGCAGCTCAGAAATGCAGCCATGGGGTGTTTTTTCTTTAAAAACTGAGAGTCCAGGGGGGAAAGGGCAAAGCTTCAGGAGGTGGGCCCACCCCCAGCACAATCCCATTCGCTGGTTTCTGGCCAGAAATTGGCTAATGGGAGCTTCCTGTTTCAATTACAGGCAGCCATGAAGCACAAGGGGCTCCAGAGCACATGGCTGCAGCCTGTGCAGGGGCAGGGCAGGCAGGGAAGCTGATTCAGGAACAGCTGCTGGGTGGTAAGTCTCCTTGCAGAGTCTACCTCCAGCACCCCAGTCCCTCCCTTCCCCAACCCTCTGGTACCCAAGTACCCGTGCAGATCTGGCACCCCAAACCCCTGCCCCAGATCACAGTCCCCTCTTGCCCTAGCTCACAACCCAAATCCCTGCACCCCCTCCACACCAGTCCAGTGCCCCAGCTCACAACTGCCTCCTTCACCCAAGCTCCCTTGCTTACCCCAAGCTCCCTTCTGCACCAAAATCTCCATCCCAGAGCCTGCTCCTCCATTAATATCATGGAAGAGTGCAGCCCTTGGCCACTTTCATGGAGTGGCCCCCCCCATAAAAAATTATTGCCCACCCCTGCCCTAACTGCACTGGCCAAGGGGTGGAACCAGGCTTTTGGTGATCTGGATCAATGCTCCCATATTGACAAGATGAAACCTGGGATCCCTCCTGCAAGATTTTATAGTAGCTCCCCTCTCGTGCAAATCTATCATCTTATGCATATGCAAAATCTGTGAGTCATCATATGCATATGCAGTAAGTCATCTGTGGCGCCCTCTTCTGGGTGTTGTCTCAATGCTGCCACATTCATCTTCAAAAAGGGAGCTTCCAAAAGTGCTGCTGACTCCCAAGGCCCTCCATATGTCCAGTCTTCTATTAATGAGCCCATTTCACAGGTCTCATTGTTCCTGGATCTGGCTTCCCTCCCCTCTCTAACCATTGTAACCGTCCGGAGGTGCTTGCCTTTCCCACCTTATCCAGTCACACCTCATTCATTCAACAGGGCAATCAATTAAATAAAAGGGGAGAGAGCTATTCTCTACACCAAGGAAAATCTATGCAGCACTTTAAAGACTAACAAGTTGGTTTAATAGGTGATGAGCTTTTGTGGGCCAGACCCACTTCCTCAGATCATATTCTTGGAGAGAATTGGCATGACCAGGGCTCGACAAGCTGCAGCAACAGCTACTTGCCAGTCCTGCACTGCGCATGTGCCAGACCGGCACTGTGCATGTGCGCAGTGTCGGTGAATGGGGCACACGGAGCGACCAGCTGAAATCTACTCGCCATGGCCAAGTAGAAACAGTGGTTTGTCGAGTCCTGGGCATGACCATATAGACCAAAGGGATACAATGAAAAAAGTGAACGTTATTAAACTGACAAATCAGATTTAGGCTCTCTTCTCCCCAGGTGGCCAGAAACTTCAGCCAGTGGGTGAGGACTGTTTACTCAGCTCCGACTGGCCAGCGGCCCCTCCATGCCTTTGTTTTGCCAAGGGACAGAAAGGCAAATGCTGAGAAAGGGCAGGTGGGACGTGTACTGCAGCCACTAAACTGTGGGACAGTGGGCGGAACAGCGGTCTGGGACCCAGGAGTGGGACTGACCCGGCCACACCCCGGGCTCCTACTGGGGCTCTTGTACATTTCAAAGTTGGAATGCAGCCCTGCCCCCTCCCATGGAGCTAGAGTGAACTGGCTTTTAAGCTGGCTCCCCCCGGGGCTGGCCTGACCATGAGGCGAACTGAAGTGACTGCCTGCGGTGCCAGTGATCAACGGCTCGATAGTGATCAACGGCTCGATGTCGGGTTGGTGGTCGGTTTCTAGCAGCGTGCCCTGTACTTGGACCAGTTTTGTTCAGCATCTTCATTAATGACCCGGAGGAGGGGATGGATTGCACCCTCAGCAAATTCGCAAATGACACTAAGCTGGGGGAGAGGTAGATATGCTGGAGGACAGGGATAGGGTCCAGAGTGACCTAGACAGATTAGAGGATTGGGACAAAAGAAATCTGATGAGTTTCAACAAGGACAGTGACTGCCTGCGGTGCCAGTGATCAACGGCTCGATAGTGATCAACGGCTCGATGTCGGGTTGGTGGTCGGTTTCTAGCAGCGTGCCCTGTACTTGGACCAGTTTTGTTCAGCATCTTCATTAATGACCCGGAGGAGGGGATGGATTGCACCCTCAGCAAATTCGCAAATGACACTAAGCTGGGGGAGAGGTAGATATGCTGGAGGACAGGGATAGGGTCCAGAGTGACCTAGACAGATTAGAGGATTGGGACAAAAGAAATCTGATGAGTTTCAACAAGGACAAGTCCTGCACTTGGGGCGGAAGAGTTCCAAGCATTGTTACAGGCTGGGGACCGGATGGTTAAGTAGCAGTTCTGCAGAAAAGGACCTGGGGATTAAAAGTGGAGGAGAAGCTGGATAAGAGTCAATAGTGTGCCCTTGTAGCCAAGGCGGCAAATGGGATATTAGGGTGCATTAGGAGGAGCATTGCCAGCAGGTCCAGAAAAGTGATTATTCCCGTTTATTCAGCTCTGGTGAGGCACATCTGGAATACTGTGTCCAGTTCTGGGCCCCCCACTATAGAAAGGATGTGGACGCATTGGAGAAGGTCCAGCGGAGGGCGACCAAAATGATTAGGGGGCTGGAGCGTATGACCTATGAGGAGCGACTAAGGGATTTGGGTTTGTTTAGTCTGCAGAAGCCAAGAGTGAGGGAGAATTTGATAGCAGCCTTGAACTTCCTGAAGGGAGGTTCCAAAGAGGACGGAGAAAGAATGTTCACAGTAGTGATGGATGACAGAACAGGGAGCAATGGTCTGAAATTACAGTGGGAGAGGTCTAGGTTGTCTACACCCGCT